GAGATTTAATAATTGAGGATAAGATTACCTAAGAGCAACAGTCATTTAATTATTTCGTTATCCTAATCACAAGACTTTTTTGGACAAAAAGATCTAAAACGTTACTTCCATAGTCAGTTTGTAAGTACCATGGACAAATTACTATTACTAAAAAAANAAAAAAAAAAAGAAAAAAAACTGGAAAAAAAAGAAAAAAAGGAAAAAAACTTGCAAACAATTCCGACTTTGTTCAAAACAGATATGAAAATGACAGTATTTTGTCATTGTGTTGCATTCTGCATGCGATAACTTCCATATTGTCCTGAAATGGCAAAACAAAAAACCAGACATTCATTTCATGCATTCAGAAAATGGAAACTTGTCCCACTGATTGATAATCTCTGATAGGTAAACAATTTTCATCAGTTTCTTAATGTGTTATTTTCAGGTTAGATTTGACAACTATCGTGGGACCTTACAATCATATGAAGGTATCGAGGGCCAATGGCCACTTCATCTTCGAAATGGCCGAACATTGTTTTATAATGAAATGTTTGTTTCACGTATTTTTAGTTCATCGTCGTCCGTTTACTCCAGAATTTATGTCATGCTAAAGAAAGTTCTCAAAATATTAAATCTTTGTCACTGGAACTTGCTTGCTTGCCTTGTTTATCTGAAATTAAATCTGTGATATTATTTACATGTCTTCAATTGTTTTAATTTGGCACAACCCTACTAACCCATTGTTTTGGATTCAGTCATTCAGTCCACTAAAAACTTGTTTATAAAAACTTTAATACCTGTTATTTTTAAGGATTGAAGCTATCGAAATGAAATACGAAATCATCATGTTAGTAATCTCCTTTCTTTTGTAATTTAAAAAATTTCAATTACTGAACTGGGAAAGAGCAATTGAAAAGAGCTGGTAGAACAGAAATAAATAAATGAAGCGGAAGTAAATCCTGATTTTTGGGGCAGGCGACCGAAACAAATCTCTTTGAAGCTTCCGAGAATAAGATAGATATCGAAATGTGCCAGGTATCCTTACGAGTCAAAATAAAAAATAGCAATGTTAACTTATCGTTGTATTTCACCAGTTATTTTTTCAGTTCAACACAGAAAACCGTTACCAATACAAAAATATTGACTAATTATGGTAGTTCTATAAAGGCGCTTTCATACTTCCCTATTGAATACATCGAAGATGAGTATGTTACACATCCACCTCATTCGTTTTCACTTATTCTGGATTTCAATGCCATCATTTGGCAGTAAAACAAATCACTTAGGACTTAAAAATATGCATATGAACTTTGATCTATTAGCATTTTAAACAATCATAAACTGAAAAATACAATTGAATATGTAGACAGTAAGAAGTAACCGCTGATAAACAACTTCTGTTAAGACTGTTGTCATTTAAGCTAATTCCCTAGTTGCGATTTAAACCATTGAATTATTTCAGATATATGGGAACGTTCCGTAAAGAAACGGCGAAATTCCCGATATCTTTCTATGGAATAATCAACTGTACTGTTTTTGTGATAATGAAATTTGAAGATTTCGAGAAAGTAAATCTTGAAGGCAGTGGTAAGCATTTCGATATCATTCTGATATGGAACATTATGGAATACAAAATAGAATGCTTTGTTTTGATATTCTTGTCAGGACAATTCAAATTCTTTTAAATGTAATATTTCTGAGAATGGACAAGATTCCTTACTTT